ATCTTCCAGTCTAACAGATGTCAAATGATTGTCATGGGTTTCAGAACAGGATATGAGGTCCTCAACCACCAAAGCTGCATATATCTGGTTTTTAACTAGATGTTTCTTCTGTTGCTTTGAAAAGCAAATGCAGAACCTCTCTTATCTGGGAGGCTCACTTCTAAATCCATTGGTCCATTTGCTCTTCAACAATTGGGATTCAGGAAAAAAAGATGCAAGAATGAATGAAAGTTGATTGAAGGCTTCTGTATGAAAACTTAGGATATATGTTTAGGAGCTCTACATTGGAGAAGCAAGGGGGGGACTTTCTCCTGCCTGTTTGCCCCCAGTCACCACCACATTTAAGGGGCCTTTAGGGAAAATGCTCTGATAAACGGTAACAGTGGTGGGTGGCAACAGTTTTCTAAGTCAAAGTTGACCAGCTCTTTTTCCATCTTGTTCCCCGTAGTGCCTTGGATGTAGCATTGATCTAGGCAGTTGTGTAACATCACAGTGGCAGCTGACCTTAGCCACTTTGCATCACTTCCGTTGCAGAGCCGTCAATTAATAAAAAAGCTTTGGAGGTGACCTTAGATAATCGTCAGGTATGGACTGTGATTTCAGCCCTGGGAAGGAGGCAATAGTGAACCACTTCCAAAAATCTTTTTTTTAATAGTAATTTTATTAAAGGTTATAATTACAACAGTAAAAGCTAATACAAATTGACAACAAAAGGAGAATAAAAAGAAAGAGTAGAAGGTGCAGAATAGAAAGAAAAAAGGGAAAAATAGAAAAAGAAATAGAAATAGAAAAGAAAAAAAATATAGTAAAGAAATATATAAGTGACTTCCCACTTTCATCACAAGTATAAACAATTTTAATAACTTATCACCTTCTCTCAGAATACAACAAATGATCTCTTCTTCCCATATCTCATTTCTTATCTATAAACAAATCCATAAAGACTTGTCATTTCAGTCCTCATGTCAGCAAAAGTCCATTAAGGGTAAACAGAGATAACATATCTATTGTAACCTTGATCAAATAAACCAACTTTATATTCCTTCCTTTTACTTCTAAAAATCTTAATCTTACTTCCTTCGAATAATGTTGTAGAACTTGATTTCTTTTCATTTTTTCTTTGTCCCTTCTCACAAAATTATTCAAAACTTTAACAAGCCTCTTTTGTAAATCCAATATAGGAAAATAATCCAAAACTATCTTCTGGTCCAATTATTATCCAAAAATTATCCAAAATTAACTTCTGGGTCCATTCTCTTGGTTTGTTGTTTGTATATTCCTTTTAATTATTAAAACATCAGCCAGTTTCTTCTGTATGTCCAGGGTAGCATCTTTTCCCATGTCGATCTTGTCAGGTAGAACTTGTGCCTATTCCATAACTTCATTTAGATACAGTCTATCTATAGAGGCAGACACTCTTAAAGTTAACTTCTGGGTCCATTGTTCAAAAATATCCTTCAATATGTCCAGTGTTAAAATATTTTGCCTCATTCTGTAATTGTAAGTCGAGTTTAAGTGTTCTTCTCCTTTAATTGTAATCTTTAGTTCCTTCTAGTTCCCTCTAGGGTCCAATTTTTAAAATCTTCTCTTGTTGTTTTTTAATTCAGAATAAAAGCATTTTCCCACAAGAAGGATTTTTTATAATTAATTCCAAAATTTTATTTCAAAATTTATTTTAAAAAAATTGTTTAAGGTTTTAAACTTGTAGTTAAAACTTCATTCGCTAAAAATTGATGGAAACTCACCTGGTGCTGTCAAACCTGTTGATCTAAAAGTTTCTAATAGCTGAAAAGCAGTTAACGAGCAATTTCCAGAAGTGATTAGAAAAGGAAGTATGCAAACTTAGTGTCCTTTCAAAGGTGCCAACCACAGTTTGAGCAAGATGGTTATTCCCTCATCTCCCAGAGCTCTAAACCCTCTGGAGACTGCTGTATTGCAGTCTCCTTGCAAGGAGCAGATCTCAAGTCTTTTGCAGTGGCTATGACTGATGTCAAGAAACTGGGCAGGATCAGATCTTGTCAATGCTTGGATGGGAGATCCCTGGGTTTGGGGCTAGACTAGGAAATCAGAAAACTTCCAGGAAGAAAGCAGTGGTGAGCTATTCCTGTTCTGTGACCAAGAAACAAACCTGAGTGCATCCGTGAAGTCACTTGGAGCTCAGCTTGAAGTGGGATGTGTGAGGAAATGTCTTCAGGCATTCTAAAATGTAATTACAGATATGCACAGAGAGGGAGCACGTGGCTTAATAGCTCTGTTCTTTTTTTAGCCCTGGAGCAAGAAGTTTAGCAAATCCCTGGTAAATTACCATCTGCACACTCAACGTTGCCTTCCTGACTTGCCCAATTTTGTTTTACTGCCCTGCTTTATCAAATTGCATCCTGAGTTTGCTTGTTTCATGCTTTAATCTGGGAAAATGGCAAGAAAAGAGGTTCAGGAGTTTCATCTGTTTTTTCCTCTTGTTTTCCCTTAGAAGCTAGAAGTGGAAATTGTTCTTTGGCTCTGGAAAAAAGCTGAGCTTTAAAGTTCCACTTTGGCATCCTGTTGATGACAACTGCTATTTTTCCTTTCTCTCTCTTTTTTCTTTTTTCCCAGCTGAGACAAAAGTTCAAGATCTCTGAATGGTTTAGGTAATGTTGCTTGCAGAGGACAAAACCAGGAACCATTCATGAGCTTGCTTAGGTTTCCTAAAAGTGCAAAAAAGGAGAGGAGAGGGTTGATTGTGGGTTCTGCTGGACCACTGAGTCAGGCATTATTGGGGCAAACCTAATCTGAGCTGGAAAAGGAAAGAGAAATCTCAACAAGGTTCAGAAATCAATCAGTCATTCTTTCTTTGTATCTCATGCTTAAAGGCGCTGATTAGAACATCTGCAGCCCTCAAGCCAACAAACAGTGCAGTTTCCCACCCATTTTGGACTGAAAACAAAAACAACTGCCTATTATCCATTGGATTGGCTTCACATTCCTTAATAACCTTTCAGTCTCTGCCCCCGACAGCTTTCCTGAAAATAGAACCTGGCTCACTTGTGTGAGGTCATCAGATCACTGCCTTGCACAATCCTCTCAAAGTGTAGCCATTTCCTACCAGAGAGGTTGCCCATCTCTTGGTTAGGGAAATCTTCATCATCATAAATTTGACTTAGTAGCCGATAACATGCATGTAATACTATAGCTTACTTAACATTCCCTAACCAGGTCTTCTCCAGATGTGTTGGAAATGCAATTTCCAGAATTCCTATCCAGCTGAAGATCGAACTGGCATGGAATTCCAGGAGTTGCAAATAGAACACGCCTGGAGGATGCACCAGGAAAAAATAGCAGGGTTGCCGTATCTCAGCTGCAAAACTCTGCATAACCACTAGGTGACAGTAAAGAGATTCTGGAAATTCTAATCCTTTGCTGCCATCTGATGTCACCCAGAATCTTCACAGCTCAGAATAGTAGCCCTAGATAGGGGAAACGTCTGTCTTGGGGTTAAGTTAAAAGATATTATTGGGTTGTGCCCATCATTTTTCCCTATATGTCCTTTGGAAATGTATAAAGTAGAACTAGCTGAAGTGTTCTGCTGTGCCATTATTCCTCTAATGTTATCTAACCATAACTGCTGATCATGACAGAAATTAACAGAAGCTACAATATTCATATAGTTCCTGGATCCAACCAAATATTGGAAGGTTGATGTTGGTTATAACCTACTGGCTACAATTCACTCAAGCTCAGATAGGCTCAACACATTTAGCTACCTGCTAAGTCCCAACATGGTTAGTCTTTGATGTTCCTTATTCCTCTTCACTAACAGGCATTTGATTCTATGGCGCAATCAATAAATGTCTTACGATAATTTACTTAGAACACCAGATTCCTCTTGTATAGTCTGTGTGTTATCATTTTTTTTTAAAGTTACATATGTAAATCTTATCTTTGAAAAGCAGAATAATTTTTAAACCGCTGCTCCTCTGGAAAAAAAAATAGCAAAGTGACTTGACTTTTTTCTGGGAGAAAGGAAACTTTATCTAATGAGAACAGAAATGAGACTCTCAGCAGAATCATTGTTTGCTGAAGGAGTTCACCAGAGAGAGAGCTACTTTAACATGGGTGTTTAAAATGCTTTGTATGTTCAGGAGGAAATACACACATATAATCCATACGTGCAGTAGGTATATGTATCTCGGGATTAAATATATTTCTAAAGTATGCAGATTTTTAACAGAGCTAAAATTGCTGTGTTTCCTCCATGCAGTCATGATATAAATGCGTATTTGCCATTGCATATTTTAAAAGTGTTTGAACTCCCTAAGCAGGCCATCATTGCTCTTGGATTTCACCAAATTTATGCCTTGGTCTTAAGAGTCCATTGTTGCAGAAGTCGGGGTGGCTTTTTTACATTGCTTCTGAAATATTCAAGTTTCACTCTTGTGATGGAATGGAATTATGAAGGCCAGGTTCAGGGAGATAAGCGTTTTCTTAGTTCACCACAAGAGCGTGGGAACTTCAAGAGGATGAGGCTGGCACCTCCCTGAGGAATTCACAGTGTTGTGGCTGGCTGGCTGGCTTGGGACCTGGGGTTCAGTCTGGGGAGATTCTTGCTAGAGGTTGCAGCTAATGAACATAGCTGAACTGATTTTGCATTGTCTCTTGGAGTTCTTTGGAAGTTGGTGCCAGCTTCATCCTCTTGAAGTTCCCACGCTCTTGTGGTGAACTAAGAAAACGCTTATCTCCCTGAACCTGGCCTTCATAATTCCATTCCATCACAACTCTAAAGATACTGGGTATATTAGGGTATTAACCTATTAATTATGATTATTTATTAAATTTATATGCTGCCCAACTCCCAGTGACTCTGGGCAGTTATATTATATAATCAACACACACAGAGTACAATTCTATATTGTTATCAAGAAAACTTCATGGACCTGATCGTAAAGTCACAGGAACTGAGCTTGCTTTGAAGATGATTTTATCATCGTCTATTAAGTAGGCATATTTGTGTTCTTTTCTTCCAGATTTACAAGATGAGTTATCCAGGGTATCCACCTGCAAGCGGATATCCACCTGCGAGTGGGTATCCACCTACGAGTGGGTATCCACCTGCTGCTCCAGGTAAGTTTGCTTTTTTCATTTAAGGTGTGGTTGTTAGAACAGGTTGGTGGAAACTGAATAGTGAAAGAGATAAATAAAGGGAGTAATGGATGCAGAAAGGCCTTTGTTTCCCCAGATACCTCAAGAGAGCAAAACTGAGTTAATCCTCTTCATTCAAGTACAGTGAGTTCCTTTGCTAGATGGCCCAGGGGGACTACTGCGTTCTATATATTTTTAGTTGTGGGTATTTACAATTGAGAATGTTCAACAAAAATCTTACTACATCACAGGTGTGTATGTGATGGCCCCTTTCTTTTTCCTGCTATCAGTTGCTTCTTGATGGGGGTGACATGGCTCAATCTGCTACTTATCCTGGAGCATCTCTTGCTCCAGTTAGTTATCCTTGAGGAAAAGGAACAGCTCAGGATAGAGAGTAAATCATTAGGGAAGAAGGACTAAATCTGGTTTCATCAACAGGTAGCAAAACAGCTGTTTGGGCTAGCACAGTTTCCGTGAATAGTCCTCAACTCATATTCACCTAGGTTGTCTGTTTTTATTGGTTTGTGTGTTTTAATTTCCAGGCAGTAGTCCCTGGGGTGCCCCCAGCTACCCCCCTGCAAACCCTCCTCCAATTGGATTAGAAAACGTTGGAAACTATGCGGGTCAGTTTAATCCGGATTATATGGCAGGCATGGTGAGTAACTCCAGTTTGAAGATGAAGCATTTTAACATTTCAGCTGGAGCAAATTGTGGAGATTGTTGTCTGCAATTTTGCCTTCTGTTTTTCTCCATAGTCTTATGGAGTTAGGTAGCCTCTACATCTAATAAACAAACAAATAGGAACAATAATTTTAGATCCTGCAATTTGGCCATTGTTAGGGCTATCATATCTGGGCTACCACCGACCACTAGATAGTAACCAAGAGGTTCAGAAAATGCCTTTTTCTACCTTCTGGTGGTTGCCTGCAGTTTTGCAATGCAGATAACAATAGTCTTATCATCATCATCATTATCATCATCATCATCATCATCTGAAGTTTTTGGCCACCCAACTCCATGTTATTATGCCTTTCCTTTAGGAGCTCAGAACAACTTAGGCGGGAAACTCCTTTCATATTATCCTCACAGCAGCAACCCTGTGACATAGGTTGGGCTGGGAGAGACACGCCCAAGTCACCCAGTGAACTTCCATAGCTGAGGGTGGGCTGGATTGCACCTAGCCCTGCATCTTAACTACTGTGTCATACTTATGTGGAGAAGTTCACCCAAGCAGCTGCTCAGCACAATAAAATCAAGAGAAATCAAATATTTCATCTCCTTCCCTTTCTCCTTCCTTCCTACTATGGTTGGACTTACCCTGATAATGTTGCCCTCCATGGTTGAAACGATTGCTGATACTTTGTACTGTGATATAAATCATCTTCATTCTTTGAATATTTGATGGTGTTTTTCTTGCAGGCTTCCAATCTGTCAGGAACGTTTGGGGGTGCCAATATGCCACAGGGAATGTATCCTTCAGCTCCTGGGGGCTATCCCTCTGCAGCTCCAGGGGGCTTTGGACAACCACCACAGGGACAGCAGCCGTCTTATGGGATATACCCGCCACCTCCAGGAGGAAACCCACCAACAGGAATGCCATCTTATCCATCGTACCCAGGTGGTCCAATGCCTCCAGCAGCCCAGCAGCCTCAACCAGTGCCATATCCTGGGCAGCAGCCCATGCCAAGTTATCCATCGGGCCCAGCTGTTAATCCTTCTATGCCATCCTACTCGGGCTCTACCATGCCCACCATCACCCCTGGAGTAGTAAGGACCTTTTTGTGTATATTTTGGCATTCTTTTAGTGGGAAGGGGAAAGAGGGCAGATTCTAAATCTTGGCAGCATAGACTTAGTTTCTAGGAACATTAGTCCTCGTCAAATTGTTGTAAAGTGAAAGGGACAGTCCCTTTTATAGGGTGATGAAAGTCGTAAGTGTGGTAGAACATCAGTGAAAAATGCAAGGTGCAGTATGACGGAGCCTGTCCTCTTTATCTGTGCCTCATCCCTTGCAAGAACTTTCCATTCTGCATCATTTCAGAGATGGAGGTTCTCAGCCTTTGTGCTCCTGAACTTCTGTCCTGATCTTGGAAACCTTGCTGGAGGGAATCTTAACAGTTTCCTTACAAGGCAGAGATTTGGAGGTAAATCTGAAGAAAAGTCCAGGATAAATTCTTGAGGAATAACTTGGACCTCCCACAAGTTTGTTTGTTTGTTTGTTTATTTAAAAGGTTTATATGGCCACCCTTCTTAAAGAACTCTGGGTAGCTCACAAAAACAGTAAAACCAGTAACTATAAAACACCCTTAAAACAGTAAAACGATCAAACAAAAACAAAAGTTGTTGTAGCAGACTGCAGTATTTGCCTGTGTGAGTCTACCCATCATAGTTAAATGTTTTCAGAAGCTTCATAATCTTCCTGGTAAATATCTAATATAAACTTCAGACTTGCATCACCAGATGGGAAATTGATGAGTTATGAGGAATTTTATATCAGGTTAAAATATTTCTTGCCTGCATTGAACTAAAGATTTGGGACAAGGAAAATATATTTATATTTATATTTGTGTGTGTGTACGCACACATACATATACATACATACATACAGGTAGTCCTCATTTAGTGACCATTCACAGTTATGACAGTGATGAAGTAACTTTGTGACAAATTCTGATGCAAATGTTACCATGTAGTGATCTCTCTATCCAGCCTCTTCAGCTCATATTTAATGAAGGTATTTTATTGGTTGCATTTTCTAATGGTCCACCTGTTGTATTTAGAAAGGACAATTTTGAAAATACTTGTGGACCACCCTTCCCTTCCCTTCCCTTCCCTTCCCTTCCCTTCCCTTCCCTTCCCTTCCCTTCCCTTCCCTTCCCTTCCCTTCTTCTGTCTTTGCACTTTTTGTTTACTTACTTATTACTGTACTTTTTTCTTTCAAAATATGTATTTTTATTGTTTTAAAAAATTATTTAATAATATGTATGTATGTATGTACATAAAAAAAAAACACCTGTGGACCAGTGCATTTACCTGTATGAGATAGGAGAAGCATAAATTGTTCTCCACTGCCTCTTTTATAATGCAATAAATTAACAAAAAGGTGGGCTCATTGGTGAATTTTCTGGTTCAGAGATGGAATGCATAACTCATCTGCTGCTGGACACATTATGGTGTCTCAACATCAAGTAAGTGTCTTCAAGCCTCCTAGCCATCAAAATGAGGACAGTGCAGCTTCGTCTGTTGAGATTGATTTTCCTGGACTGGTTTTGGGGACTTCCTCACGCCTCTAGTCACATCCTGTATGGATTGTTGCAATGTGCCCTACATGGGACTGCCTGCTCCAGAATACGGCAGCATGAGTGGGTACATCTTGCCTGCACAACACCGCTGCTGGGTGAATTGCATTGGCCAGCAGTAGGGTTCCAGTTGCAATTCCATGTGCTAGTGGTCATCTGTAAAGTTCTTCATGGCATGGGGCCTGGTTATCTATGCATCCATCTATCTCCAGTTAACTCTGTCCTGTTCAGTCCAACAAAGCTTGCATGTTTTGGGTCTCATCAGTAGTGTCACCTGTTGGGAGTTAGGAGACGTGTCTTCTCTGTCACAGCATCTGCCCAATAAACAACCCCTGCCCAAACTTAAATTGGCCCTATCCCTGCCAGCCTTTAAGAAGGCCCATGAGATTTGGTTCTTCCCCAGGAGCTGGGGAGTTGTGTGTTTAATCCTTGTTTTACTTTATTATGTCTTAATTTTTTTATTGTTTTCGTTGTATTGAATGTTTTAACCCTCGTCAGCCACCCAGAGCTTCTTGGCAAGTGGGCAGCCATATAAACTGATAAATTGGCCGGGGGGGGGGGATGTTATTAATGGCTTTACATGATGCTGTAAGCATATCTTTTATATCCTCTGGGATACTTTACTTGTTGCCACCTAGGGTGATTCCCAGCCTATGCCAAGGAAAATGTGCTCCTGAGTAACTAATTTTGCTCTGAGCTTCAAGTTTGGGTTGGTCAGATTTCTAGGTTTATCTCTTGCTTTTATCTAATGGTAAAGACAAGAGAACTATACAAGTGATAAACTAACTGGTCGCAGCAAGCCACATCTAGCTAGCTTTAGTCCCTCAAGTGTATCAGGTATTAATTACCTGATTAATTAATATTTGCTGCCTTGCGTGACAGGAAATAGCCTAGTTGTGAAATATTGGTTGTGGAATGAGAAACATTTGTTTTTCCTTGCATTACTACAGTCTGGAAACCGAGGCACAGTCTATGATGCGCCATCATTCGATCCCCTGAGGGATGCAGAAGTGTTGAGGAAAGCCATGAAGGGGTTTGGTGAGTAGTCCAGGACTGGCCTCTTTTCTTTTTATTATGGATGGCCAGCACTGTGCACCGTTGGTTTCTCCAACTGATACCTTTGGATGAAACTGGAGGAATAATTATTTTATGTTCCTGTTTAGGAACTGATGAGCAGGCCATCATTGAGTGCCTTGGAAGCCGCTCAAGCAAGCAACGCCAACAGATTATGCTCTCATTCAAAACAGCTTATGGGAAGGTAAGGCCACTTCTCCCACATGAAGTAATGGCACACAAACATTCCACTGCTCATTTGCCTATTTAGGTCCATCTGTATCTGCATCCTGCTAGTTAGCAGCATCTAGCCAACTTTGATTGACCTTGAGAACTTAAGCATGGTCTGATCTGGTTAGTACTTGGATAGGAAATATAGCTATAAAAATTGGCAGAGAAGAATGAGAGAGCAGCTGAGGCCAAAGTGAAGGAAGCAGTCTACTCTACCTGCAGCTGTCCTTCTGTTTGGTTGAGAACCTGCAGCTGGTGTAGAATGTGCCATCCAGGTTGCTGAATCCAGCTGTGGACATCTTATCCCTCTGTTGAAACAATGGCACTTGCTAACGTTGGTCTACCAAGTCAAGTTTACAGTTTTGTTTGTGATGTCTAAGGTCATGATGGACCACCTTCATTATGGTTGTGCATGTATATATATATGAACTCACATATGTACATCAAATGGTTCAGGCAATTTCAGAAGGTCTCAACAAACACAGTGGGTTAACATATTACAATGTTTAACTGATAGTGGCAACAATTGTCATATAGATACTGCTATACTACTAGTACTAACAGTCAAAGTAGTATCTCTATTAAAAAGTGTAGCAGGGAAGAACATCCCTGCTTCATCCTTGCCCACTTTTCCACACAGGCCCTGTCCACTGTGCGAGAAATTATTCCAAATAGTGAGTGTGATTCCCAGCCCACAAAAGTTTCCCACCCCTGTTGTGTAGGACTCTTATCTCTGGCGTTTTGTGTCCCTGAAACAGAAATATTTGCTAGAGAAACTGATAATTTTGGGGCTTGCTTCTACTAAATCTCCTTATTTAAGATTCTGTACTACAGTTTCAAACCATGCTTTGTTCTCCATTTTCGGATTGACTAAAAATTAGGATTTGATCAAGGACCTGAAGTCAGAGCTCTCTGGAAACTTTGAGAAGACAATCTTGGCAATGATGAAAACACCTGTCCTGTTTGATGTTCATGAAATAAAAGAGGCTATCAAGGTTTGTATTTAAAGGAAAGCTGTGCCTCTCAATGTTTTGCCCATTTAAATGCTCATTTTGTCTTTCTTTCCTGTCTCCTTCCAGACTTATCCTCAGAATAATTTTTCTCTTGGCTTTTTCTGCTGACTATCAGCAGAAAGGCCTTGCATTCAGTCATGTGTTTGCTTAGCTTCTCTATATCTGCCCCAGATCCCTTTCAAGTTATTGAAGGTATTATATAGTGATGTGCAAAACGTTTCAGTCCTAGTTTTGAATTTGAAATGCCCTATTTCAGGTGAGAAGTGCCCCATCCCAAATGCAAAACTAACTTGCTGAATACAAAGTGGGGTTTTCTGAATTCACTATGACTCAGCCTCATATATTTTGTGCATCCCTAATGGTATCTGTGCATACACGCACACACAACTGTCTTTTCCCTGTGTGTCCTATCTTGTAGAAGATAGTGCAAGATACTTGCAAATTGTTCTAGCTTCAGCAAATAGAAGCTGACTTTCAGTGTTTCCAAATCTCAGTTCCTGGGGTTCAAGATCAGACTTCCATTGTCGTTTGACCATCTTTACCTCTAGTTCCCAAGATGGAGATTGGAATGGAACCATCATGGTGTGCCTGGTACACAGTGCAAGAAAACTTCAGTACTATTACTTTCATTTTGTTTGATTAAGTAATTGGTTAAACATTTGAGAAAACTTACACAACAAGCTCTTTGTAGAGACAGTCCTGCCTTCATTCCGCACATGAGGCAGTGTGTCTCTTAAAATGGATTTTGTTGATGTGGTTTCTGGAATATTTGTATTATAAATAATGTTTAAAATCTCCTCTGGAGCCCTTACTTATTAAGTTAGAAAACAAGGGCACTGCATGTTCCTTTCATATCTGTCACTGCTTTTCATATTGACCAAATGCTGCCATATAGGAAGAACGTCTTCAGCCCAGACAAGACTTAAAAGAGGGGTTGGGGCAACCCTTGTATGTGGACAGGGGGCAAAAGCTAGTGAGTGACCTCCTGCATAATAACGAGAAGAGGCTTTCTTCCTTTGCTCAGGGTGCTGGCACAGATGAAGCCTGCTTGATAGAGATCCTGTCATCGCGCAGTAACAAGCACATTCAGGAAATCAGCCGAGCATACAAAACAGGTGAGTGTCATCGCTCAGAGGCAGCACTGATCTGATCCCCAGCAGAGTAGCTGGCACCTCGAGGTCTGAAAAACTGAGTTTTGGATATCAGTCTTGAATTCTCCTGGAGGTGGGGTAGGGCTGTGGTGCCTTGGGCAAAGTTCTCCATCTCCTTCTGGGCTGATTGCCAAGATGCAGAGTTCACGTTTCCAAATATCCAACACAGATACTCCCTTTCCACGAGGCTGCTATGGATAGAGTGGTAACAAGACATTGCCAATAACTTGAGCGAAAGCACAAGAGAAAGAAAGGACCAAGCCTTCCATTGCTCCGTGGGAGGAGGAAAAGTATTCTCAAGCTAGGTTTTACAGACAGTAAGAAGAGCAATTCTGCATCTGTTGAAGTCTATCTGGGGGATCTGTCCACAGGAAGCAAATTAAGTTCAAGCTCAGATACTTTGGTCACCTAATGCGAAGAGAGGAGTCTTTGGAAAAGACCCTGATGCTGAGAAAGATTGAAGGCAAAAGGAGAAGAGGACGGCAGAGGATGAGATGGTTAGATAGCATCACTGAAGCAAT